CCTCGTCTACTCGGACCCCATCGAGGAGGCTTCTGACATAGCGCATCGGTTCGACTCCAGTGAGCCGCCAGCTCGGCCGGAGCATGATTCACGGCGACGGGCGTCGCCACAAAGGGGGGCACGGCTGGGGCAGCCGTGCTCCCTTGCCCCCCCCCTGTTAGTCATGGGCGATGTACCCAGCGGGGGAGACAGGCTCGGGGGAAGACGCATCCACCCCTATCGTCGCCCATTCATCGACGTTGCAGTGGAGACCCATGCCAAGAAACACCCTGCTTGCCTCCAGGGTTCCCTGGGTTTCTTGGGTTTCGATGGTCTAGCGATGGAAGGCGTGGCGTGCCCACTCCAAAGATCCACGGACGTCCTGGGGTCTCAGGGTTGGGGTTCTTGTGGGAGGTTTCTTGTGGACTGGCCTCCGCTGTAGGGGTCCGTTGGCCATTTCCCACCCAGGGGCGTGCGGATCTGCTTTCGCGAACCGTATCGCCAGTATCTCGGCGACGTATCGCCGACTCTGGGCCGACGTGTCCTTCCCCCTGAGTTTGTCCCCACACGGAGCGCTGCCTCTCACTGCCCACCCCGTGGGGGGCCCCGTGGCTTCCCCATGGGGCCCCACATGGGGGCTAAGGGTCGCCACTCGCCCAGGCGTGGCGGGTCGGCAGCCTCGTCCTCCTCGTCCTCCCTCTCCTCCCCCTGCCGTCTTCCTCCTCCGCCTCCGGCTCCTTCCTCCTCTCCCGCCTCCAGATTTCCGCTTCTGTTATCCCGCATACGCGCCTGGCCCCCCTCCCTGGCGCGCGGAGCGTGCCAGGGGCGGCGATGAAGGCGCCGCCAGGGGTCTCCAGCACAGATTCCCCAAACATCAGTGCGGACCGCCGAATTGTTATGTTGATGGTCTTTTATGTTCCTTGAAATGAAGAGCGAACGGTCCTAACGTTGCTTGTGTCGTCGCTGCTTCTGCTGTTGGGCGGGGGTGTGCGACAGGAGGCGGCCGTTAGCGCCGCGCAGCGCCTGGCCATGCAGGTGAGCAAGGAGCCCGTGGGTGCGGGGGCTGGGGTGTGAGGGGAAATGGGAACGGGGGGGGAGGGAGTATGGCAGGTTCATGCGGCGATGGCGCGCTGGCGACGCCAGCGAAGGCGTTCAAGGTTGAGCTCCGCACGATCCACTGACGCGGAAAGCAACCGAGGGGAATTGTAACGTCACAAGACCCGACAGAATTCAACCCTGAGTGATCGGGGCCGCCATCCGTTCAAGGTTGAACGCTCGACGCGGTGTCAAAAACCTCTTGCGCGCGCCGAGGCCGCACGTGTCTACCGCACGAAGGATGAAGGATGTCATATTCATGTCAAAGGGGAACACACTGCATGAACACAAGTGTCCGGAATTCCAGGCGAATTCCGCGGATCCGCGCTGGGTGTCAGGCTATGCGGGGGCGAGTGAGCGACGCAAGCAAAGGGGGTCCATCTGCGCCGACATCGGCGCGTAAGCTGCCCGCGTAGGTTGGCGCGTAAGAGCTCTCGCTCCCAACGTGGCGTTCCGCGCCCGCGGCCCGCGTGAGCCGCCGCGTGCGGTCGCTGTGCCATCTCGCATAAGACTCCTTTTTGATTGTCGCTCAGGTGACCTCATTGCGTACAGCCAAGACGCTGAAATAAGGAACAGTTCGGATTCGCAAGGGGCTCGATGTTCCTTGCGTCCTTCCGTGGTTGTTCCTCTAGCCCATCTCGTGCACCCAGGCTTTTGTGAAGCCACAGAGGGGCTTCGTTCCTTATTTAGCGTTCCTTATTTCAGCAGCCCGACTGCAAGATCTGTGGAGTAAGCCCACGGGGGCGCCCACGGGGCGCCTGCGAGCGGGCGCGGGCGCCACCGCGGCGAATCCCCGGGCAACCCGCGCAGCGCACGGGGCGCCCACGAGACGCCCACGAGCGGGCACTGGCGCCAGCGCGGCGAATCCTCGGAAAACCCAGCCGGCGTATTGGGGCGCCCACGAGGCTTCCGGGAGCAGACGCGGGCGTCGACGTCGCGAAGGGCTGGGGATATCGTGCAAGCATTGTTTGTGGAAGAAGCTGTTCGTGAATCACAACATCAGAGGGAGGGGGCCGAACGGTCATTCATTGTCCCTGGGTGCGTGGCCGAAGTGGGGATCCGTGGTGAGGATTCTGCTTGTTACGTTGTTGTCGTTGTTGTTGTTGTTGTTGTTGTTGTTGTTGCTGTTGTTGTTGTTGTTGTTGTTGTTGTTGTTATTGTTGTTGTTGTTATTATTATTATTTGTGGTTGTTGTGGTTGTTGTGGTTGTTGTGGTTGTGGTTGTTGTTGTTGAACATTATTTATTCTAAAGAATAATTATTGTTGGGCCCCCTGGTGCGCGCCCCCCCTGCGCCGCCTAGGCCGCAGCTACATTTTCATCATTTTCGTGAGGAAGCCTCAGAAAAGAGGGTGTGTACAGGATCCGGTTGTTTTGTTGTAATCCGCTTTCCCTTGCAAAAAACAATAGAAAATGACATTTCTTGTTCTAATATAATCAAATTTCAAGAATCCCTTGCAAAAAATAAGGTAAAGTGGACATTCGCGCGCGCAAGACGAAATCCTTCCAAAACCTTAGTGTTCGCAGCGATTTTAACATAAAAACATCAAAAAACCAATGGTTTTTCAACAACAAATTGTCAAAATCTCATCCCGCGCGCTCTTGCGGATTCGTAGGAAACCCAACACTTTTTAAACATTTCTGTCAAACGGGCTTTTGCGAGCAACTTTTTCGAACTTCTGCGACAACGGTTGCGCACCTGCCAGGGCCATCATCCCTGTCAAATAATACCATGCGGGACACATTCGTTTTTTCTTCGCGCGCGCACGCCGTCGTCGTCGGCCGCGGGGCCCTGAATAGTAGCCACGGTCGTCCGCATGCCACGAAGTGAAGTGTCCGAACGTCATAGGGCGGGAAGCTGGGTGTGGGTGGTGGCGAAGAGTCGTTTGGAAATTTGGTAGAGCTTGAACCGGCCCCCCCACAAAGTGGGGGTATTGCCCGCCTCCTATGAAAACCCTGGCACTGGTGAGAACGGAGTGTCCCCACGTGCTAGTAATTGTTGTTGTTGTTGTTGAACATTATTTATTCTAAAGAATAATTATTGTTGGGCCCCCTGGTGCGCGCCCCCCCTGCGCCGCCTAGGCCGCAGCTACATTTTCATCATTTTCGTGAGGAAGCCTCAGAAAAGAGGGTGTGTACAGGATCCGGTTGTTTTGTTGTAATCCGCTTTCCCTTGCAAAAAACAATAGAAAATGACATTTCTTGTTCTAATATAATCAAATTTCAAGAATCCCTTGCAAAAAATAAGGTAAAGTGGACATTCGCGCGCGCAAGACGAAATCCTTCCAAAACCTTAGTGTTCGCAGCGATTTTAACATAAAAACATCAAAAAACCAATGGTTTTTCAACAAAAAATTGTCAAAATCTCATCCCGCGCGCTCTTGCGGATTCGTAGGAAACCCAACACTTTTTAAACATTTCTGTCAAACGGGCTTTTGCGAGCAACTTTTTCGAACTTCTGCACAACGGTTGCGCACCTGCCAGGGCCATCATCCCTGTCAAATAATACCATGCGGGACACATTCGTTTTTTCTTCGCGCGCGCACGCCGTCGTCGTCGGCCGCGGGGCCCTGAATAGTAGCCACGGTCGTCCGCATGCCACGAAGTGAAGTGTCCGAACGTCATAGGGCGGGAAGCTGGGTGTGGGTGGTGGCGAAGAGTCGTTTGGAAATTTGGTAGAGCTTGAACCGGCCCCCCCACAAAGTGGGGGTATTGCCCGCCTCCTATGAAAACCCTGGCACTGGTGAGAACGGAGTGTCCCCACGTGCTAGTAATTGTTGTTGTCGTGGTTGTTGTTGTTGTTGTTGTTGTAGCTGTAGTTGTAGTTGTTGTTGTTGTTGCCACCCGCGACCCACCCGCGAACCACCCCGGGACCCACCCGCGACCCACCCCGCGACCCACCCCGCGACCCACTTGCGACTCACCCGCGACCCACCCGCGACCCAACCCGCGACCCACCCGCGACCCACCCTGCGACCCACCCGCGACCCACCCCGCGACCCACCGTCCACCCACCCGGCGACCTCCCCGCGACACAACCCGCGACCCATCCGCGACCCACCCGCGACACAACCCGCGACCCACTTGCGACCCACCCCGCGACCCATCCAGTACGCGACCCACCCCGCGACCTACCCGCGACTCGCCCCGCGATTCGCCCGCGACCCACCCCGCGACCCACCCGCGACCCACCCCGCGACCCACCCCCTCCCCGCGATACCCACACCCCCCGCGACCCAACCGCGACCCGCGACCCAGCGACCCGACCCACCCGCGACCCACCCGCGACCCACCCGCGACCCAGTTGTGACCAAACCCGCGACCCACCCCGCGACCCACCCTTGATCCACCCCAAGACTCACCCGCGTCCCAACAACGATTCACCCCCGACCCACCCGCGACCCAGCCGCGACCCATTTGCGACCCACCCGCGACCCACCCGCGACCTACCCACATTGGTCGAACGAAAATTGGCGCCTGCGGCGAGCTTGTTGCAAAATGTGTGAAACTGTTGTGCCTGCGGCGGGCTTCTCCAGAGCGTCGCAGACTGCCGACGTCCCCACCACCACCCTCACTCTTATCCGCATCTGCGGGGTGCTACGTGTGTGTATATATATATATATACACATGTGGAGGGCGATTGGGGGAAGGACGAGCGGGGACGGATGAAGAGAGGGAGGACGACCAATGAGAGTAGGAATGAACGCCTCAACGACCGATGCAAAATCAATATGTGCTGGGGGGGGCTGCGCTATATACATATATTCCTCTTCCTATATTTTTATAAGCCCAGGCGGGGGGAAAACCCATCCCCCCCCCCAAAACCGGACTCCCGGGACCTGGGGCTTTGGGGCCCTCCGGACGGGCCTCGAAGCGGCCACCGGGTCTCGCCAGGCGTTTTGCCAAGCCTTCCCAGCACACTTAGGGCGATCAGGGGGTCATCGGAGACGTCCCAGAGACCCCCAAGACAGCACAAGAGCGCTCCAAGAATGACCGACGTGACCTCAAGATGGCCCAAGAGGCCTCCAGGACGGCCCCAAAGAGGCCTCCACGAGCACTCCCAAGAAGGCCCCCCGAGGCAAAAATCATTGATTTTCTTTGCGTTTTGGTGGATTGTGGGGTTCTCCTCTTTTCGGCTTCCCGACGCTCCAAGACGGCGGTCTTCTGGGCGTCCGAAGCCGCCTGGGAGGCTCCCAAATCGCCCCACAACCATTCGAAAGGGCTTCCAGGCAGCCCAAGAGAGCCCCAAAACGGCACAACACGGGTCCAAGATGGCCCTCAGAGAGCCCCATGGCGGCCCAAGATGGCCCAAAGACACCCTCCGAAGAATTCCACATCGTGATCCGGTCGTTCAGGGAGACGGCGGTTGGAGGCAGGGTGGCCCGAGGAAGCCCCCGGAGGCCCCCAGCATGCGCCCAGGAGGCCTCCAGAAGGCCTTAAGAAAACCCGAAACAACTTTTGTGAGCCCCCTAGAGGCTCTCCAAGGAGGAGCCTCCGCAAAAAAGAGCTGAGGAGGATGGGGAGAATGCGCAATGTATGGCGAAAATAAGGAACAGTAAGCATGGAGGAAGAATTTCGAAAAGCATCATTATAGCGGCGATGCCGGAAAAGACAACCAGGAGTTATCGCTAAATTGTCGGCTTGACCTTCCTGCCATTCCGCCTGCAAACCAAACTTCAAGGACCAAGGTGCATGGCGCGAAGCGCCACTGCAGTCTTGTATATATATATATACGTTGGTTCTCAGGTGGGTCGCGGGTGGGTCTCGGGCCGGGTCGCGGGTGGGTCGCGGGGCAGGGTCGCGGGTGGATCGCGGGTGGGTCGCGGGTTGGTCGCGGGTGGGTCGCGAGGGGGTCGCGGGGTGTGTCGCGGGTGGGTCGCAGTTGGGTCGCGGGGTGGCCCGCGGGTGTGTCGTGTGGTGGGTCGCGGTTGGGTCGCGGGCCGGGTCGCGATGGGGACAACAACAACGTAAAAAGCATAATCTTCACCACGGATCCCCACTTCGGCCACGCACCCAGGGACAATGAATTACCGTTCGGCCCCCTCATTCTGATGTATATAGTCTTCTCGCATGTCATCATGCATATATGTGTTTTCACCATCATTCGCGTCGTGCGCATCACACTCCACAATGGCATGCCCCCTCCGCAATATTTATTACTTGCTGTAAAGTTGCAAGTGTATCAGTCGTTGTCTTGCTGTTCCACCAGGTCATCATTCGTCCTGTGTTCCTTTGCCCAGGTCTTTCTCCCTTGCTGCGTTGTGACCAGAAAACGGTCCATTCTCGCAGAACCACGTTTTGGTTGGAGCATGGCGTGGTTAGCCAACACGTGAAGATGCCGAAACGCGCGGGTTGGGTCGTCCATGTCGTTGGCGTTTGTGCCGCGGTCGCGGGTATTTTGTGGTTTGGGTCGCGGCGGGGTAGTGGGTTGGGGGAGTGTGGGGTGGTAGCAAGAGTAGGGAGCGCGAGGATGGTGATGATGATGACTATGACGATGATGATGACGACGAGGATAATGATGACGATGATGATGATGGTGGTGGTGATGATGGGCATGACAATGATGATGATGATGATGATGATGATGATGATGATGATGATGGTGATGGTGATGGTGATGGTGATGGTGACGATGAGGATGATGATGGTAATGGTGATGGTGATGGTGATGATGATGATGATGAGGATGGGGATAAGGATGAGGATGAGGATGATGATTGTGATGATGATGATGTTGATGTTGATGGTGATGGTGATGGTGATGTGGCGGTGGTGGTGATGATGGTGGTGGTGGCGATGGTGGTGGTGGTGGTGGTGGTGGTGGTCGTGATGATGATGATGATGATGATGATGATGATGATGATGATGATGATGATGATGATGATGATGATGATGATGATGATGATGATGGCAAGACGCTTTTCGCTCCAGGTGCAAACGAGGGAGGGACAGTGTGGTGAATACGAATTCGAGGGGGTCCGTCAGGCGGTGCGGGGGGGGGGGGGAATCAGGAGGCGCAGGGGCACGGGAGGAGGATCCCACTGCCGTGCGGCGCCGCGTCCAGGAGCGGGAGTTGGAGGCCAGATTGGCGGGCGCCATGATCGGCGGTGCCACCCCACATTTTCGGCCAGCCTTCCGCGCATTACCACTTCTAGTATCGGAAAGAGCGCGAGCTACGAGTGATGACGTTTTGGTGTGGGCGAAGCCCCTTAGGGGGAGTGCAGAGGGGGGCGAGGGTCGCACAGTTGTGTGTTAGTGGCCGTTGTCGGGTTTTCCCTCTGGTTTTCGCATGTTTTTCGGGTTCCCCCCCAAGACGGCCCAAGAGCGCTCCAAGAGAGCCCAAGACCGCCCAAGACAGCCGAAGAGGCCCCCAAGAGGCGCCCAAGGGGCGCCCCAAGGGGGCCCCAAGAGGCCGAAATCATAGATTTTCCAAAGGAAAGCGTATATTTTTAGCATGTGCGCTTTGTCGGCTTTCACGGCGTTGACGACGGCCCAAGAGGCTCCCAAGAGGCCCCCAAAACGGCCCAAGAGGGCTCCAAGACGGCCCAAGAGGCGTTCAAGACGGCCCAAGGGGGCGCCAAGACGGCCCCAAGAGGGGGACCACGGGCCGAAAAGTCTAGCCTTTCGCCCCAAGACGCTCCCAGGAGGCCCCCAGAGCCCCCCAAGAAGCCCCAAGAGGCCCCCAAGAGGCGTCCCAAGAGGCCACCGGGAGGCGAAAATCTTGTGGGAAAAGGTGCGTTTTTAGCATACAAGGCTTCTCTGCTTTCACTGCGTTGAAGACGCTCCAAGAGGCCCCCAAGACCTCCCCAAGACGGCCCAAGAGGCTCCCAAGAGACCCCCAAAACGGCCCAAGGGGGCGCCAAGACGGCCCAAGAGGCGCCCAAGACGGCCCAAGAGGGCCCCAAGACGGCCCCAAGAGGGGGACCACGGACCGAAAAGTCTAGCCTTTCGCCCCAAGACGCTCCCAGGAGGCCCCCAGAGCCCCCCAAGAAGGCCCAACGAGGCTCCCAAGAGGTTCCCAAGAGGCCTCGAAAAGGGCCCGACAAGGGGTCCAAACGGACTCCCAAGAAGGCCCAGAGACGCCAAATAGAAAGCGATCGGTAACGCAAAAAGCTCTTCACACCAAGGCTCCCAAGAGCGAACGGTGACGTAAACAAGCTGATAAGACCAAGGCTCCCAGCAGAGAGCGGTGACGTAACAAGTTCCTGAGACCAAGGCCCAGCTAAGGCTCAGGAACGGGCTGCAACGCAACAATCTCTGAACACCAAGGCTCCCAAGAGCGAGGGGTGACGTAACAAGCTCTCAACGCCAAGGCTCCCAGTACGAACGGTGGTGTGAGTAATTTCGGTTTCTGTTTCTGAAGCGCTCTTTCCGTTTCCGTGCCGGCCCAGGTCTACCGCGCCATATCCTTCTTTTGTCCCCCTCCTCTTCCCCCCACCTGCTCTTCCTCGTCTTCCTCCTTTCTTTCTGCCACTTCCCCTTATTCCCCTTCGCATCCTCCTCCTCTTCCTCCTCCCCTCCTTCGTCCTCTCTCGCCGCCTTCTCCTCTGCCTCGTCGTCCTGCTCACGATTCAGGCCAGGGGCAGGACCTGCTCGACATCGGATCCCCTGTGCCCCTCCAGGGCGCCACCTGGGGGAGGGAGCGGTAGAAGGGAGAGGGAGGCCTTGAGCGTCGAGTGCGAGAGAGAGAGAGAGAACAAAGAGAGAGAGAGAGAGAGAGAGAGCGCAGTGGCCCGAGCCAACCTGAGCGCAGGAGGGCGGGGGGAGCCACGCTCCGACTAGGCTCGGGCTCCTTTCGCACCAGCTTCCGGCGGGCCCGCGTGTGTTGGCGACTGCAAAGGGTGCGGTTACGCCAGGGTGTGGTTTGCGATCGGCGCCGCGGAGGCCTGGAGGGCACGACACTGCCCTCGTCGGGCCTCCTCGGGGCGCGGCGGAGAGCTCTATCGAGGTACCCGCCCGCCCCCCGTTTGACCCCCAGGGGCCGATGGCAAACCACACCCTTTGCAAACCACACCCTTTGGAGTCGCCGCGCGTGGCTGGCCGCGCGTGGGCTCCGCTGTCCGGGGCGCTCCCTGCTCGGCGCCGGCAGGGCAGCGCGGGCGCCCTCGCGCGCACGCTGCGTGGGGGAGCAGGGCCCCGCCCGCGGCCACCTGCCGGAGGCCCCTCCAGCAGCCCGAGGCCGCGCAGTCAGCTCCTCCAGAGGAGGAGGAGGAGGAGGAGGAGGAGGAGGAGGAGGAGGAGGAGGAGGAGAGGAGGAGGAGGGGAGGAGAGGAGGAGGAGGAGGAGGAGGGGGTGGAGGAGGAGGCGGAGGGGGGGGGGGAGGGGAGGGGGAGGGGGAGGGGAGGCGGAGGCGGAGGTGGAGGCGGAGGCGGAGGAGGAGGGGAGGAGGAGGAGGAGGCGGAGGAGGAGGAGGAGGAGGAGGAGGAGGAGGAGGAGGAGGAGGAGGAGGTGGAGGAGGAGGAGGAGGAGGAGGAGGAGGCGGAGGGGGAGGGGAGGGGGAGGGGGAGGGGGAGGCGGAGGCGGAGGTGGAGGCGGAGGCGGAGGAGGAGGAGGAGGCGGAGGAGGAGGAGGAGGAGGAGGAGGAGGAGGAGGAGACAGGGCCGGACACTTCGGCCAGGAGGAGGAGGAGGAGGCAGGGCCGGACATTTCGGCCGTGTTCCGTTTCTCGTCTGGGTAGGGAGGCGCAGGAGAGTTGGCGGAGCAAGACGGAGCACAGAGCGAAGACAAGATGAGAAAAGGCGCTCAGGTCTGGCCTTGTCCCGCTGTGCCGCTTTGCGCTGCTGCCTGTGCCTCCCCTGCCCCGCGCCGCTGAGGAGGAGCGGCCCTTGCAGTCGTGGCGGCCGCGCTGTAGGGTCAGGAGGGAGGCACGGGCCCTGTGGTATATCAGCAGGCAGCGTTAGCGGCAGTGGAGGCAGCAGCGGCTGATCTTGGACGTGGCACGCTTTTCCGCGGCGAGCGAGGGAGGGAAGCGAGAAGTAGAGTTCCTTCTCTCAGAAGGCGGCGAGACTTCTCAGAAGCCCTCGCGCCTTCTGATAAACAATTCTGTTTGGCTTCGGGGAAGGCTCGGAAAACCTCTCGGAAGGCTGGGGGACTTCCGAATCTTCTGAGGATGCTTCTTCTTCTCACGTCCCCCCTCGATCGCCGCCGAATTGTGGCGTTGCAGCCGAGTCTAACCGAATCCTCCCCGTCTGCCGAGGTTGAAGCAATGAAGCGAGCGTGGCGGTCCAGAATGCTCCTGGGCCCACGCCCCCTCGGTCTCTCCCTACCCTTCGCACGCTCTGCCTCCCTCCCTCTCTCCCCGCTCGTCCTCCCTCCCCGTCCCGACCCCTTCCACTTCCCCTTCTCTCTGCATCCCCACCCCCCTTCTCCCGGCTCCCTCCCCGCGATCCACCTTCCCCCCTCCCGCCTCCACAGCGGTGAGGAGGACGAAGACGACGGACGACGACAGGCGGCGGCGACGGCGGCGACGACCGGCGACCGGCGACCGGCGACGACGACGACGACGACGACGATCGACGGCTAACGACGACGACAACGACGACGACCGACGACGACGACGACCAACGGCGACGACGACGCCGCGGCGACGACGCTCCGCGTCGGCCGCGCGGCGAGCCAGGCACCTCGGGGGTCCTGCGCGCGGCGCAGGCCACCTCCGCCAGCCTGGCGTCGTCGGCCTGGCGCCTCAGCGCTTCGGCGGGGGCGGCTTCGAGGGAGCACCCAGGGAAACAAAAAAAATCCTCAGTTCCATCGGAGCGATCGAAATGGGCATCCAGACATGATCGCGTCGTGCAAAGTATCGGGACGGAGGGTTTTCGGTATTTGTCGGCCTCGGGGGGGGCCTTGCCAGGCCTCGGGAGTGCAAAACATGACGCAGGATGAAAGACCGGTCCCTGGGAAAGGGTCGGGTTTTCCGGGGGCCTCGTATGAAACAAAGCATGACGTCGCATGTCTGTGCACGGGATATGTACAGTGGAGATCCATGCCAAGAAACACCCTGCTTGCCTCCAGGGGGCCCTAGGTTTCTCGGGTTTCGATGGTTCTGCCAGGGGAAGCGCGACGGTCCCATCCCCAAAGGCAGTGGACGTCCCTGTGTCTCAGGGTTGGGTTTCTCGTGGAAGGTTTCTTGTGGACGGGCCTCCACTGTACTCCAACTCCAACCCCAACCCTCCCAGACGACCCGTTTCAGACACCCCCCCTGACCAGCCATGAGAGGGTGGTTTTTTACCCATACACCACTGGAACCCTCCAAGGCAGCTCAGATCAGACCGCCGCCCAGATCAGACCACCCCAATTTTGTAGTGAAATCCGGAGTGCTCAAGCAGTAACGAAGCGTCTCGGTCTGCCTGCAGGACAACTGAATACTATTATGAGAGAGTTTTCTGTTGCTCGCGACATGTTGTCAGAAGACTTCTGCTTGTTACTGCCTTGCGTCCTGTTTGAAGAAGCCGGTTTATGCTTAGGAGCATGATTTATGTTTTTCGGTCATGGTTCAACAAACGTGCCGTGGTAGGCTATAAGAATGACGGGGCGGTCGGTCCCTGCTCAATTTACGAAGATCGGCATTTCTTCCTGATAATTTTGAGCAGGATTCGTTGACTGTGTCGCCGCGGACGTTGTCCATTTCGGACAAAGGCCGCTTGCCCAACAGCTGTCGCTTTTGGTTTTGGACAACATCTGTTTTGGGCATCGTACCCATTTTTGTGCGTATCCATTTCGGGCGTCCGAGTTTATGCCTCCCAGATGAGGTCGGCGTAGATGGGGTCGGCGGATCGCGCCGCATCGCCGATGCACCAGCGATGCGGCTCGATGGGGAGCCCGATTTTCTCGACAATGCACCTCCGATGCAGTGGCGATGCAGCGAAAGCCTCTGACCCAATCTACTCCCACCCATGTGGGTGGCCTCTATCCACTCAAACCGCAGGCAACCCCGAATGAACCAGCGCGCTCAGAGTAAGCAGTAGCTTGTGGGCAAGAGGTATGTCCACAGCCTCTGCGCCCCTTCCTGGGAAGGGGCGCCAAGAGGCTCAGGCGCAGTGGATGTGGATAACAGTATAGCCTCTGGGGGCCAAACTCCTATCCATATCCACTGCGCCTCGGCGTTCATGGCGTCCCTTCACAGAAAGTCCGAGACGCAGTGGATATGGATACACGTCTTGCCCGCCAAGAAACGAGGTCTTTCACTGAAGCCGACAGCAGTCCAGAAACGAGAAACGAATCAGCGCTCTCGGAGTGAGCTAGCTGATGGCCTCGCGTTCGACGCGGGAGCTGGCCGCGAGGCTTCCTGGCAGCAGCGCGGCCGCGGAAACGCTGACAGCGCGAAGTGGTTCTTTGCCGACCAGGGTGGCAATGCGGTGCGCGCAAGGAACGAGACGGCGCGCTCGGTCCTCCCCGGGCCCCAGGGATGGACGGAAACCCTGACCGCTCACGATCTCTATGTCCAATCGCTGCGAACTGCTTTCGCTTCTGGCTCCGCGTCCGCTTCCGGGCCCCGAGGTCATCTAAATGGAGCTGGGGTGCCAAGTCGGGAGCTCGTTCTGAGGCCGCGGGCTAAAACAATCACATCGGAGGATGTCTCTGGGAAAGGGGTTCCCCGCGGACCTCGAGGAACGAGGCCGCCATGGATGAGAGGGGTCCCAACATGTTCTCCTTCTTGGGCCTCCTCGTGCCCTCCAAACTACGCGTCCCAGATCGGGCCCGAGTAGATGGGGTCGGAGCATCGCGCCACATCGACGATGCATCGGCGATGCGTCTCGATGTGGAGCCCGAGTTTCTCCACGCCGACGTCCCCCATGCATTTTGCCGACGTCGCCGATGCATCGCCGACGCGTGGGCGGTGCCACGTGGCCCTCCGACCCACTCTGCGGTAGGCCCGTGTCGACCGTCGGCGACCCCGCCGCCGGCGCCGTGCGCGGAGCACCGCTGGCGGCCCAGAACGGGCCGACGTTGCGCGAGCCGACGCGTCGGCATTTTTGCTCGCTGTGTTGCTGGTCGGCGCAGGCCCCCAAAAATTCAGGAGGAAAAGAAACACACAGACACAATTAAATCTCGATTCCCCAGAAAATATGGGAAAATATGGGAAGTGGGGGGGAAGACAGAAACCCAGAAAATATGGGAAAATATGGGGAATCTTTTTATTTGTGTGTCCTGGGGCCCCTTCAAAAATGCCCCCTTCCCTTGAGTAGATCTTGGCCGTTTTTTTTGGCGCCTGTCTGGAGCGGGTGGAGTCTCTCCCCCAGGGGCAGCACTCTTGCAAACAGTCGCACTGAGCAGGGGTCTGGATCCAGACCCCCCTGCCCTCCCCCCCCTTCCGCCCAATATATCGAAACGCCGAGTAAAAGAAACGCTCACAAACGGCCGATCGTTCAAAGTGGAACGATTCCCGCGGTTGCGGGAACCAACGCCTGCGTCGGCACGACACGAAGTTGCCGCATTCGGATCACAGACAGTGGAGGCCAATGCCGAGAAACACCCTGCTTGCCTCCAGGGTGTCCTGGGTTTCTCGGGTCTCGATGGTGTCGTGATGGAAAGCGTGACGTTCCCACAGCAAAAATCAATGGACGTCCTGGGGCCTCAGGGTTGGGTTTCGTGTGGAAGGTTTCTTGTGGACTGGTCTCCATTGTGTGCCCTCGTAAGTCTGTCTTTGGAGTGCACAGGCGTCGATTAGCGTCCGACAGGCGATGAGATGGCGCCGCTTTAGCGTCGGCTCGCGTCGAGCCAGCGGCGATTCGCAAGTATGAAAAAGATGGATTAACATGGTTTGGGAGGCTTCCATAGTTGCCGCAGAAAGAAGAAAAGGAGGAGGAGCAGGAGGAGGAGGAGGACACATGAGGAATGAGGAGGATGATCGCCCTGCCGATCTCGGTCCTTGGCGGCGAGGGCAGGGGAGGCAGGATGTTTGAGATGGTGAGAAGGCGCCCTGGGGTTCCGTGGCCCTGCCGTTGACGAGGTCCGCTCGAGGCCTCGCACGTTTGCCCACCCCCGGTGGCGTGGATTGGCGTCTGGCGGTGCCCGGGGATGCCCCAGGAAGGAGGTCGCTCGGCAGGACGATGCCTCGTCTGCGGGCCGAGAGGTGCTGCAGCGCTGGCGCCGCCAGCTCCTGCTGCGATCCCCCCCCTGGCTGCTTCGACGTGCGTCGGCCTGGCCGTGTCTTGAGATCGGCCTGCCCCACGGCAGCGGCCTGGGCAGATCGGCGGGCCACCCTGGCCTGGGAGCCACCCTGCCACCCTGGGCAGATGCCAGCAAGGCTCGACTGGTTGTGCGTCGGCCAGCTGGGGCCCCGGGGGCTCCTCGGGTCCTTCGACCGCCCCCCCTCTGGCGTCGCCGAGTGCGCTGTGCCCAGCGGCCCGTGCGGGTGCCAGAGGACCCCCTCCCTGGCGCGCTCCGCGCGCCAGGGGCTGCGCCGGAGGCGCCGCCAGGGGGAGGAGGAGGAGGAGGAGGAGGAGGAGGAGGAGGAGGAGGAGGAGGAGGAGGAGGCGGAGGAGGAGGGGCCCCAGCGCAGATCCAAGAAATCTGCGAGGTGCTCCACACGTTTGTGTTCATGCGTTTCTTGTTGCTCCTCCAGGTCCGGGGTCACCTGGAAAAGTCCTACGGTAGGTTCGTGTCGTGTCGACCGGCGGCGACCCCGCCAGCGGCGTTCAACGTTGAACGCCGCGGGAGACCCAGAATCATTCGATGTGGAAGAATTTGGACACTTCGGGAACGACCGATCGTACAAGGTTGAACGACACCCGCGGTGTCGGAAGCCAACCCTGAAGTCGGCACGACGCGAACCTGACGTGTTGGGTCTGCGGTCGCCGTGCCACCAGAGCGAGCGGCGCTGAGCAGGGAACGAAGACGGGCTTTTCTGGCAACAGCGAGCCTCGGCCCCGAGCGGGCACCCCGAGCTAGATGTCAGTCGGCCGTGACCCTCCACAGGTGGGAAGTTCGAACACCCTAGAACAAAATGGTCTGGGAACGACGTGCCTATAATGTTTTAACTTTGTTGTGGAGCATGTTCTGCGTAGTTGTTGTTGTTCGTCCAGAATCCGCCTGTAGGAGGGCATGCCCGACCTGAAGCTAGATCTGGGGAACGGTCCGAAAACAAGGCGCCCTTCTAAACCCAACATGGTCCTCATTTCAGCGTCTTGACTGGGGACCCCCATTCGCTCCGAAGTTAAAGTCGCTCATGCACCTTGGTGAAATCCGCAGGGCGAGCCATCTGAGGTGTGGCGTGAAACGCTGGGGGTATCTAGGTAACCCCGAGCCCGGTCGGGCATTGCCCTCCCCCATATCAGCAGCGCTTGGCTTGACCAAGTTGCTCTTGGCCGTGCCCAATCACGCAACTTCAGGACCCTACGGGCAACATCCTCTTCCCCTGAGAACCAGCAGAAGCCGCCAGAAGATTGCCGGGAGCTTATTGTTAAGCTCTTGGGGCCCTGCGGACGTATTTCTCTCCATGAAGCCACATATGTGGTGCAGTGCAGGGGGTATTGGCCCTAAGCATTCGATCCCATGCACGTCCTAAAGTGCGTCATCTGTTCCGACATGCATGCCAGTTCGGGAGGCGTGCGTCGCCGTCGTCATCCTTGTTCGTCATTGCCGCATTAGGCGTGCTCGCAGGGATGGTGCGGCCACTGACGGCGTCGATGCCTCAGGCCCGGGATCCCCCTTCTGCAAACCCTGTCTGCCGCGCCGAAAACGATCCCGATCCCGATCCCTCCTCGTCCTCGTCGTTACCTCCGCCCCCATTCGCGCTCTCCTCCTCGTTATCACCATCCTTCTCGTCGTCCTCATCGCTCTCACCATCCTTATCCTCCCTCCCTCCCTCCCTCCCTCCCTCCGCGGCCCCCCTCTTCCGCACCCTCTCTAGGTCCCGTCCTTCTCCGCATTCCTCTTCCTGCCTCCTCGTCCTACACCTCCCCCCTCCACTCTCCACTTCGCGTTTCCTCGGCGCTCCTCCGCGCTCTTCAGCGTGCTGACAAATTCACGAGTACCGCACTGCATCACTTCGCAATGATCAGATTCTTTACAGGCTTTCTGGGACACGGCGGGGGCGGCTGGCAACAGCTCATGGAAGCCGGCGCTACACAGGTCCTTGCCCGACGAATTTGCAGGTGTTTGGGATGACTTCTAGCGCGTTTCCTTCTTGATTCCGAGAAGTTGTACAGTCGACCCGCAGAGTAAGGATGGGCATCCGTCCCAAGGGTACCCTTGCATCCTTGCTTCCTGGGTCCATCCTTGGACACTTTCGTTGGCCGCTCCCCGCTCGAAACGCTTCGAAATGGGCGTCCAAGGGCCTTGCATCCTTATCGCGCATCCTTTTGGCAGGGTGTCCACGAGCTCAAGTTGCCATCGGCAGCGGTTTTGTGAGTTGCAGTGTCGTGCTGGCCCAGGCTCTCTCCGAGGCGCACGGTGCCTCGGATGCGATTCTCGCCTGCAGTCGGCAGTGGCAGGATGACCTCGTGGACTTCGTTTGCCAAAAGCGTTCTCGCACCCGCTGCTCCAGGCAGCGCACGACTGGGCCAGTTTCGCAACGCTTCTAGCGTTCATCGACGACGTGGCAATCTCAACGGAGGGTACCAAAACAAACGCCACGAGCGAGCTGCATGAGGTCACGATGGGCTTCGCTGACAGGGCACAGAAAAGGCAGGTCGGCGACATCTGACAAAGCGGTGCCGGGGTCGTGCGCCGACTTCCACAAGCCATTCGAGCATCGGCGAGATCAGAATGCTCGAACTTTTCAACGCCGCCATCATATCGAAGATGCTCCGAAGCTTGTGTTCTCTCGCGCTGAACGCTGCGAAGAGAAGGAGACTGGACGGGGCGCATTGCAGAATGCTGATGTCGTTATGCGGAGTCACACGCCCGTTGATTTCACGCGTGTCGAACGACTCGATACGGACAAGCACGGGCGAGGCCCCGTTGACGGCCATTCTGTCTAAGTACCAGCTCACTTTGTTTTGCAAATCGGTGCGTGGCTCAGCAGGAGCTCCTCCGGAGTATGTTGCCATCCTTGGCGCTATGACGCTGGTCATTGCTTGAGGTGACAGATTGCGAGATCTGGTTAAAAACCGTCATATATGGCGACATCGACTGAGAGATCGGTGTGGGTAGTGTTTGCATGTGCGCTTGCCGACGCGCCTTGGGCGCATGGTTTATATATGTCTGTCTGTCTGTCTGTCTGTCTGTCTGTCTGTCTGTCTGTCTGTCTGTCTGTCTTCTTTCCAGCTCAGTACAGAGCGCGCAGTGGTTAAACGTTGAAGCAGAACGGGGTAAGTGGGTTTCGTTTTGAATGGAGTGCATATCGGTGTGAATGATCGGTCGGGCGAAAAGGGCGCATGATCAAGACGTCGAAGTTCAGGCAGGTGGCATTCCGACGCAGATTTGAGCGCACGTGTCAACTTCGACGCCGCGCGCAAGTTCGTTTGGAAGCGAACGGGTTGAGGACCACGCTTTGTTACAATGCTCTGGCGGACGTCACGTTCAAGGCGCCCCCTCCTGCCAACATCCCCGTGTTGCGGCGTCAAGCAGCTATGCTTGGAGTTGGGGGTATGGAGGAGAGATTCACGACGACGGCCTGATCGCTGTTCTTCGTCTTAAGGGCCCAGGGGTCGAATGTCAAATATCGATGTTGCCATTGTAGTTGACATCGTGGAAGGCGCATCCAAGCAACCGGCGGCTGAAATGGGCAGGAAGAGGCGGATGGAGGGTAGTCAGAAAACCCGTCTCAGCGCTACCTTGATGGACGTGGCGGGCTGACAGGTCAGCCTTGCATTAGATGTGGCTCACAGGGGTCATTCGAGCTATTGATATATGGCACATACCTACTCCCATATACGCTGGCAATGATCCGACGGTCTCCAATGTCTTTGAGTTGCTTGATGAAGTCGTTTCAGGCTTTCGCGCGCAGACCTGAAAGTTGGAGGCGACGAAGAGGGACTTGATTTCGGAACTGACCTTACTGGGCCAGGCTGGAGCTCAGTCGTTTGGTAAAGAGGTGTGATCGATGGGTTCGGGTACAACGTTTGCGTCACCACCGGGGGCGCTATGGACAGAAGATCGCCAGCCCCCGCTGCGCCCCGCCACGGGGAGACGGCGCCCCAAGTGCGGCGAAGGAATATATATATATATATATATATATATATATATATATATATATGCCATCAAATTTTGCGCTGCCCGCGCAACGAGGGTCACCCCGATTACGAGAAGACAAACAGTTTTGTTTCGCAGGCGCTGGCGCAAATGGAGCCCCAGCCATCGCTATGGCTCAGGGCAGGGCCCGTCCTGTTGAGCTCCCCCATCGTACGTTCGCTGAGCTCCATGAGGACTTCAGCAAGGTCGCCCTGCGCCCCCCGCCTCTTGGCGAGCGCTCGGCTTCTCGGGCCCCGGGGGGTTCTGAGCGTGAAGCCGTCTTCGGAGATATCGCAGGAGGCCGCTTTTCTCTTGGCCCGCGCTGTCCCAGATGCGGGTCAGCGGTTGACGTCTTGAGGAATGCAGGGCCAGAAGAAGGCACTAACGGCTGGTGCGTTCAGGCCGGTGCTTCCGAGACCTTCAAAGGGCACCGCTGGCCCAATGCACTTGCCACGGACCACGGGCTCTCACGGGTGGGGCGGAGGCGGGGGCGATTTGTGGGGCTCGGGCTGGAAACATTTCAACAGCTGGCTGCGCATCCGCCGCGCTTGAGAGGCTCGCGGCAATTCTCGGGCCACGGTCGAGCGGGCCCATCATCACGTCTTGCTCGCCGCGCCGCGCGTCTCTTTGAACGCGAACGGCCCATTTCCGCAGGACGCCAGTGTGCTGATGGGGCAGCGGGAGACGCTGCTGGAAGATCCTGGCGTTTGCCGATCACCTCCGCACCTCGGACTGGCGTTTGGGGCGTCTCAGCAGCTAGTTCGACGCAGAGCTCGGTAGGCCTTCGCTGGCGCCGTGGCCGTGGACCCTAAGAGGGACCGGTCTAACGCGGAGGCAGACCGCCTCAGGAATAGCTCTGAGCCAGAAGTCGCTGCCCGAGCCAGATCGCGCAGGTGTTCGCCCGTTGGCGAAGCATCTGCTCTGCCGGAAGCATGGCTTTCGCGCCCGAGAACACGGGCCTTCTCGAGGCCCTCTGGCCCGAAAATGGACCTCCGTCCGACGGGCCTCAGGGCCCCCCCATGGATATAGCTGCGGCGGCCCAGGGGCGGCTCCACATCGGCGGCGCGCTGCCGGACCCCTCCCGTTCCCTGGGCGCCTGGGGCGCCAGTGATGAGTAAATTGGTTTCCGGCGTGGTTCCGCCGCGGTCGCTGATGGTCGACACCTCGCCAACGCGCGCGCCCTCCGGCCTCGCGCAACGTTTTCGAGAATGTTTGACCAGAAGTTGCAGGCCGTTGTGCCCCAGTTCTGCAGTCCCGCCGGGGACAGCTCTCGATTCGTTGCGTGGTCGGGTCGTGGGTGCTTCCGCCATCCGCGCGGATTTGCTGTCCGGCGCTGACAGTCAGGCCTGGCCAGCTTCGAACCCGTCGGAGTCTGCTGTTCCCGTGGTCCTTTCGGAAGGGCCTCAGCTCATGAGCGTCGCTTTGTCGCTTCGCAGTGGGTCTCTTGGTCCCAGCGTGTCCGTGCCCGACGGGAAGAACTTCATCTTAGATTCAGGTGAGTTTTGGGCGGCCGGCGGCGACCGAACGGCGTGTCTACGCTCCGCCGGCAGGGGTAGCTCGGGCGTTTTGGTCGCTCGCCGCCTTTCTTCCCAGCCTTCCCTTCCCAGCCTTGCGCGCTGTGCTTTGCACGACCTTCTTAAACTCGGGAGGGGAAACAACACACAGACACAATTAATCGTCGATCCCCCAGAAAATATGGAAAAAATATGGGAATTGGGCGGGAAAACAAAAGCCCAGAAAATAAAGGAAAATATGGGAAGTCCTTTGATTTGTGTGTATTTATTTGTGTCCTTGGGCCCCTTGGAAAAGGTTTCCCTCCGCCCCCCTTCTTCCTCGCCCGCGGATGGCGGGGTGGACGGGCAGGGCGGGCGGGGTTTCTCTGCAGCTGGTGCCCCCCCCCGCCTTTCCGAGTGCAGACACCAGCCCCTTCCGACGTTGACCACCACTTCGAGGCCTACCTCCTGCTGGTGGCGTGACGGCCTGCGCCCCACTGGCTCCTCTGCTGCTCCTCCTCCTACTCAATATTATTCCTCCTCCTCCTCCTTCTCCTCCTGCTCCTTCTCCTCCTCCTCCTCCTCCTCCTCAATCTTCCTTCCTTCCCAAACACATCCAATGTCCTGCTTTTGTTTGTAACGTGGCCCCCGCAAGCCTCGCCCCGGACGCTGAGGCCACCCGCCTCGGGCGGTGCCTGCATCCGCGCGGCGGCAGCCACGCCGGCGGCGCCTCTGCGGGCGGCAGCCCGAGAGGCCCTGCGAGCGCTGCGTTTTGTTTTTTGTTGTTGTTTGGTGTTGTTGTTGTTTGGTGTTGCGGTTGATGTTGTTGTTGGTGGTGATAGTGGTGTTGGTGTTGGTGTTGTTGTTGGTGGTAGTGGTGGCGGTCGTGTTGGTGTCGGTGTTGTTGTTGTTGTTGTTGTTGTTGTTGTTGTTGTTGTTGTTGTTGTTGTTGTTGTTAGTGCTTCGTCCCCACCTCTAAAAATACATGTTGATGACCCCCCTCCTGTCCGGTGGCCACTGCGGTTTTCAAATAAAGTGTTATCTCGCGGCTCGAACCCTGTTGTTGTACAAGGGGGTACTAGTGGAAGTGTGGAGTCACCAAGCTGTATTGTTGGCCCCCGGTGTACAGCAACAGCGGTTCCCGCTTCACAGTTCTTCAACATATCTTCAAAGATCGCGCTCTCGCGCTGGTCGTGTTCACAATTGAGGCTGGAATCGCGCTCTCGCGCTGGACTTTCTCGCGGATAATTCAAACGCTGCGCCCTCGACAATGAGGAATCGCGCTCTCGCTCTTATTTCTCCCGTGGTGTACTTGGGAAACGCGCTACCGCTCAAGATGTCCTTGCGATCCATGCAGTCTTCTCACTTCAACCCGGCTGCTCGACCTGGCCGCTTGGGCCCGCTTTCCGGCCCGCCCGTCAGGGTCTACCCGCCCGGTCAGCCCGTCTGATTTTGTCACGTGTTTTCTGTTCCTGGCTTCTCTTGTGAATCAGTCCCTTGTGTTCCCTCCCCCTCCCCCTTCCATCCGTCCGCTCTTCTCCCGGTTTGGGGGCTACACCACTTACACGTGGCTTCGATACCCCGAAACAGGTACGATCGAGGACGAAGAGGGTGTCGAGGGAAAGGGATATACATGTTGAAGGGCACGCAAGCAGGTAAGAGCGAGCGACCAGTCTCAAGATGAACGTTGTCGCTGTTTTGATTGATCCCCCTGTGCCCGGTGACCATTTTGCATTTCAAATAAAGTGTTCCTCCCACGGCTCGCACCTTGTTTCCGTAGAAGGAGAAGTGTGGGGTCACCAAATTGTGTTGGTGGTTCCCGGTGTACAGCAACAGCGGTTCCCGCCTTATATGCCCTCACAATGTCTTGAAACATCATTCTCTCGCGCGGGACGTGTTCACAATTGGTGTTGGAATCGCGCTCTCGCGTTGGGTTTCCTCGCGGATCATTCAAACGCTGCGCCCTCAACGCTGAGGAATCGCGCTCTCGCTTTTGTTTCTCTCGCGATGTACTTGATAATCGCGCTATCTCTGCAGACCTCCTCGCGATTCATGCGGTTCTCACGCTTTAGCTACCTGGCTGCTCGACCTGGTTGCTTGGGCCCGCCTTCCGACCCGCCCGTCAGGGTCTGCCCGCCCGATCTGCCCGTCTGGTTCTGCCAGGATCTCTCTGCTCCTAGCCCCCCCTCCAGCTGAATCTCTCCCGCGCTCCATCCTTTGCCCTCCCCCTTCCATCCGTCTTCTCTTCCCCTGTCTGAGGGGCCTCACCACTCACACGTGGCAGGTAGGGAACATCCACCCCAAAGGGGGTACGAACGAAGACCAATAGCACGTGTATCGAGGGTTGGTAATATACGTGTTGAAAGGCACGCGAGTTGGTAACAGCGAGCGGTCTCATAGTGGTATGTAGTGTTGTTGATGATGTTGTTGTTGGTCAGTGTGGTTTCGTTGGTGTTGTCGGTGGTGGTGTGTTTGTTGTTGTTGTTGTTGTCGGTGGTGGTGTTGTTATGGTTGAGTTCTCATTTCTTCAGAATGCGTATTGTTGATCTCCCCCTGGTGACCATTGCATGTTTCAATTTAACTGTTTCTGCCGGGGCTCGCACCCTGTTTTCTGTCACTGGAAATGTGCGATCACCGAACTGCACCCCTGGCCCCCTGGACTGCAACAACAACGGCTCCCGCCGGATGCTTCCTCACAAGTTATTTCAGACGTGTTATCTCTCGCGCGGGACTCCTTCACCATGTATGCAGGAGTCGCGCTCTCGCGCGGGACGTTCCTCACAATTTGTGGCGCCGTGCCCCCGAGACTCACGAATCACGCACTCGCTTTGGATATCTTGACGATGTAATCGGGAATCGCGTTATCGCTCGAAGTTTCCTTCACGATTCATGCAGTACCCACGTTTCAGCAACCCGCCCGCTCGACTTGCCCGTTAGTGTCCGCCCGCCCGACACACCATGCTGGTGTTGCTGCTTGTGCTCCTGCTCCTAACCCTCCTGCAAGTTCCTCTCGTGTTCCATCCTTCTCCCTTCTCCTTGTCTCTTGACTCCGCCCCCTCTTCCCTGTTGTAGGGAGGCAGGTAGGGAATCTATACCCCCAAGAGGGGGCACGATCGATGACGAAGACACCGAACATTTCTGAAGGAAAAGGTTGGTTGACCCCCCACCCTGTAACCATTCTATTGTTCAAGTGAAGTGCCCCTCCCAGGGCGCGCACCCTTTTTTATAAGGGGAAGTGTGGTGTCACCAATGCCCCTGGCCCCCGGTTTACACCAACCACAAGAACAACGGCTCTTGCCCGATACTCCCTCACAAGTTATTCCGAAGTCGCGCTCTCGCGCGGATCTTTTCTTGACAATGTGTTCAAGAATTGCGCTCTCGCGTGGGTCTTTCCTCCGTGATGTATTCTAACGCCGCGCCATCGACGCGCAGAAATCGCGCTCTCGCTCTGGCTTCTCTCTCGATGTATTTCACATTCGCGCTATCGCTCGCGACCTCCTTGCGATTCATGCAGTACTCACGCTTCAGCAACCCGCGTGCTCGGGCTTGCCGCTTGGGCCCGCCTTCCTGACTCGCCAGCTAGGATATACCCGCCCGATCTGCCCATCTGGTTCTGCCACGAGTCTTCTTCTCCTAACCCCACTCCTGTTAAATTCTCTCGTGTTCCATCTTTCTCCCTCTCCCTTCCATCCATCCGCTCTTCCCCGTCCTCATCGCGAAACAATAAACCTGAACCACAATAACACAGTGAAGACGTAGCCTCACTCAGGTCTCCGTTTTTGCATTTAAAACTTCACCCCGGTGATCTGCTTTGATGCGTCTGTTGAAAAAGACCCATCTGTCCCTATTGTTTGGGCCTCTTAGCTTAGGGTCGCTCCCAAAGAGTGGGCCCCTTAATTGCTATCCGCGCCCTGCCTTCTATAATCCTCGCGGGCGGCCGAGAGGGGGGTGCTGACTAGGGGTGGATGGGTATCATGGCCAGGGCCATGATGTCTTCCGGGATGTCATGGCCCTCTATTCTTCTTTTAAAACGTTCGTTGGTTCTTTTTCTCGTCCGCGCCCGTGCTTGCGGCCACGATTCGCGAACCCCCCTGTTGTACGCCCCCCTTTGGAACGCCCCTGGAATCAGAGGAGGAGGAGGAGGGAATTTCGGATACCGCCGACCCGCCCCTCGTTACTGCCTTTTGGGGGCCTCCTGGGAGGCCCTCTTTGCTACGGCCGGATTCGCCTTGAAATTCTGGTCAGAAGGTACCCCAGGAGATGACCCGGGAGCACGGGTATCGGTATCGCTCCGCCGCCCCACCTGAGAAGTTGTCGTCCCAGACTTCCAACGCATGAGCAAACACTACACCCTTGGCGGCAGACGGCTGTAAGCAGTCCTGTAGAGCATTGAAGAGGTCTTTAGATGAAGGTAGCAGTCAGCGCATACACAGCACTCAACATGTCAATTAACGGGAGACCGTCAGGGAGACCTGACAGGAGGAGACCCTCTGTCCCGTCTCATCGTGGCCGTCCCTCCGTCCCTTCCCTGCCCTCCCTCTCGCGCCAGGGGTTCCTCGAACTCCAGCGAGAGCGCTGCTGCCACGGTGGGCTCGCATTTCGGCCAGCGGAGGAGCGCGTCGGCGAGTCATCGGTCCCCGCCCTTCACGTCAGTAAGGGCTGCTCTCCTGGGGGCTGCTCTTTGTTGCAGTGCTCCTCCTCCCCCTCCTCCTCCTCTTCCTCTTCCTCCTCCTCCTCCTCCTCCTCCTCCTCCTCCTCCTCCTCCTCTTCCTCGCCTGCATCCGATTGCCGGGCACGCTTTGGAGTCCCGTATGGGTCTGCACACCCGGAGTGCCTGAAGTCTTGCGAGGGGCTCGGCCTGCCTGCCTCCCGCCTCTCTCTTGCGCAATCGTTCAAATCGCAGGCCTAGAGATTGACACCAGCACCAAGATCTGCGGTGTGCTTCCACCGGGGGAAGACGATCCCGATCTCGGTGGCGGTGGTAATATTCTGGCTTCCAAGGTGACCGAAATATTACCACCGACACCGAAATCTAGGATCCTCTTCCCCATGTGGAGGCGACCCCCTGTGCTGGTGTTGGTGCCAATTTCCAGGCCTCCAATCAAAGCATGCCTCGCGTCTCCCAGCGTCGACCACGGCACTGGCGCCTGCAGGGGTGGACTGAGGGGCATCGCGCTCGTGCGTATGCTAGGACACCCCTCTTAGGACCCTCGCTGGCGCGCCGAAAAGGGGCGCGCGCGCGCCGATCACGGCGGGTCGCCAAGAGGCCAGAGAAGCCAGCAAGGTCTTGGCATCGCTCGGACGTGTGCATTTTTTCCTTCGGCGAGTGCCGTCGAGGAGCATCCTAGACGTCCGAGCGATGGCGAGAGGTTGGGATCGCAGTGCGGTTGATGGTTGTCTTGGTCACGAGCCCGGAGCGTCTCATGCGTTCGGTAGCAGATAAATTTTGGGAGCCCGGTAGACCCTCTTCATTCTGTCTTCAGCGTCGAGTCGCGTCGATTAGCATTTGGGAGTCGATGAGGTAGCGCCGATTCAGCGTCGGCTAGCGTCGACTAGCGCCGATTGGTGCCGATGTAACGTCGATTAGCGTCGATTCGCAAGAGCCGATAAGATGGTACGTGAGGCTCCCATGAGTTGCCATCGAGCATGCGTTGTGTTGGAGCGGGAGGCCTGACGAGGTTGCCAGTTTTGCGGCGTGGAGGAGGAGGAGGAGCTCCGCGTTAGCAGACACATCTTCATCCCCGCCGGGTAAGCCTTGGCCACGTTGCCCCATCTGCCACCTTTTGGCGGGGTTAGTTGTCGTCTCCGCCGGTTTCTGCCGTCAGTTTATCTGCCACGCGCATGTCTCACACGCGTGGCGCCAAGCCGGCACAGCTTCAGGTTCGATGTCGCCGCGGCAGACTGTTTGACGCCAGACTGGAGTACCAGGGCCGGACCTATCGCCGCGCCGATTTTTCGGCGATGTCGATAGCCCCCGACATTATCCCCCTTCATATTGACCTTTTCGCAACTCCCAGTTCGCGGTGGCGTCGACGCTACGCGTTAGATGCCGCTAGGCCCTTCTTGGTCACCCCTTTCCTCGAATCGGCGTTTTGAAGATGAGAGCCCTGAGGGATGAGGACCTGAGGATCGTGAGGGATCTAAGGATGGATTCGCACTGGTGTATGCACATCGTCCTTAGGGTCCCATCTCTCAGGACCCCATCTTAGAACCACCTCGTGGATCACGGTCAGCATGTTATGGCCTGAACGGTCAGGCCGTGTGAGGAGCCGTTCTCCCCGCATCCTCTGCTGCTCTTCCTCCCCCGCACGCAGGCGACGAGGTGATGTGAAGAGCCCTTCTTGACCGCGAGATGTCTTTAGATTTGCTGTCTCCCCTCCCTTTCCTTCTGCGGCGGTTAACACTTGTCCCTTCCCTTCCTCCTGGTCCTCCTTTTCCTCCTCCTCCTCGCCCTCCTGCTCCTCCAGTTACTGCTGCTACTTCTACTGCCACCGATACTTATCGACCCATGCTACTACTATGACGACCACTACACGACTACTAGTAGGACTCTCATTACCATTAGCATTCGTACTATTATTATCACAACTAAACAATTATGATTATTACTGCCGCAACAACTACTACTACTACTACTACTACCACTACCACTACTACTACTACTACTACTACTACTACTACTACTACTACTACTACTACTACTACTACTACTACTACTACTACTACTTACTACTACTGCTGCTACTACTACTACTACTACTACTACTACTACTACCACTACCACACCTACTACGATGAATTCTACTACGACAACTAACTACTACTACTACTACTACTACTACTACTACTACTACTACTACTACTACTACTACTACTACTACTACTACTACTACTACTACTACTACTACTACTACTACTACTACTACTACTACTACTACTACTACTACTACTACTACTACTACTACTACTACTACTACTACTACTACTACTACTATTGGTAGAACCACTGACTTCTAGTACTACTGTGACTACTGCTACCACTACTATTTCTGCTACTACTACTACTACTACTATTCCTCCCTTGATTCGTATTCTTACTACTTCTACTACTAGTATTACGACTACCACTACTACTGCTACGTCTACCGCTACCACGGTGACGATTACCATTTCTACTACTACCAGTTATATTACTTCGATCTCTACTTCGAGTACGACTACGTCTAGATCTACTAGTACTCCCACAACTACGACACATACAATCACTACTCTTCTTATTACTACGACTACTACCAGACCGCGTAATGGGAGTAACCGATTCAGAAAAGATTTGGGGCCGGACGATTACAACAAATAGTTTCGCCGGCCTGGGCGCCCCCACAATGGGGGGAGGGGGCTCGGCCCACGGAGGTGCGACAATTCGAGCGGCATGGGGAAGGCTGAAAGCCGAGGGCTGACCACCCTGTCTCCCGATTTCCCCAATCCCAATATACCCTCCCACGTTTTTTTTCTCCCCCAACCCACCTGCGTAGTTGGGCCTCGTTTTCCTTGAGACACCGCGTATCCCCATCAAATAATACCATGCGGCGCATCGCTCGTGGCCCCGTAGGGAGCTCCACCGAAGGCCCCAGTGGGAGGGTCCGCCTGGCGCACTCGCGTCATCCCCATCCAATAATACATGCGGCGCATCGTTCGTGGCCCCATAGCGAGCTCCACCGAAGACCCAAGTGGAAAAGGTCCGCGTAGCGCACTCGCGCCATGCCTCTCAAATGATACCACGCGGCGCATCGTTCGTGGCCCCATAGGGAGCTCCACCGAAGGGCCCAGTGGGAGGGTCCGCCTGACGCACTCGCACCATCCCCACCAAACCATTCCATGCGGCACGTCGTTCGTGGCCCCATGGGGGAGCTCCACCGAAAGCTCTAGTGGGAGGGTCCGCCTGACGCACTCGCACCATCCCCACCAAACCATTCCATGCGGCACGTCGTTCGTGGCCCCATGGGGGAGCTCCACCGAAAGCTCTAGTGGGAGGGTCCGCCTGACGCACTCGCACCATCCCCACCACATCCATGCGGCACATCGTTCGTGGCCCCACGGGGGAGCTCCACCGAAGGCCCCGGTGGGAGGGTCCGCGTGGCGCACTCGCGTCATCCCTATCAAAGACTACCATGCGGCGCATCGTTCGTGGTCTCACAGGGAGCTCCACCGAAGCTCCTCGCGGCGGGAGGAGCGGTCGGGGGGCGGCGGGCGGCGGTCGGCCGGCGGTGGTTCTGTTCTGGGAGTGTCGAATTGCTTCATGCGCAGCAACGGCGAAGAAAGTTTTGGGAATGTTTGGGCGCTGCGTAATGGGGGGGTCATAAATGGGGGGGCGGCGAATGTGGCCCGAAAAGGTACCCAAACGGTACCTAAACGAGCCCCCCGCGGCTCCGGAGGGGCCCGAAAGGGGCACGAAAGGGGACCTTTTCTGACCCCCCCATTTGTGACCCCCCCATTAAGCCACGCCCAAAATGTTAAATGATCCAGTCATCCCAGGGGTGCAAAAGCACCGGCGAGAGCAGGAGGAAGAGGAGGAGAGGGAACATGGGGAAAAGACTAGGGGAGAGGGGAAGGCTGATACGAAACTGCCCAAAGTCGTATCATCTAGACGCCGCGCAGCGAGGCGGAGAAAATGAGTCGAACCACGATGAAGATAATACTGCAGGCCCTCTTCGTAATAAAATATCTACAAGGACCCGAAGGAATCCTCGAAACTGCGCCGCGTGTGGCTGCCCCAAAGCGAAGCCTGAAAAAATGCAGAGGGACGGGAGGGGGGAGGCGATTTAAACGCTAGTTTTCGGCACGCCGTCACGGCGCGAGCCCAGGGGCGTTACGGGGCGGGGGGGCGGGGGGGGGCGGGCGGAGGACGGTTAAAAAAAATAGTTTCCGATGCACGATTTTTATTCGTCCACCCCACAAAAGAATCAGGGAACCCGGGGTGGGGGGAGGTGGTTTTTTTTTTTTTTTTTTTTTTTTTTTTTGTTTTTTTTGTTTTTCTTTTTTTTTGTTTGTTTTTTTTTAAAAAAAAATCGTCTGTTCCCATTACTATTACTACTACTACTACTTATCCCTACTACTATTATTTACCAGCACCTACTACTACTAACTACTATTACCCACTACTACTACTACTACTACTACTTCTACTACTACTACTACTTCTTCTTCTACAACGACTACTACTACTACTACTACTACTACTACTACGAGTACCACGACTATTTTTACTACTGCCACTACTGCTACTACTGGTACTACGGCCACTACGACTATTCCTAATACTATCACGACTACCACGACTGCTACCACTTCAACTATTCCCACGACTAACACTACTACGACAACTTCGAACTACGACTGTTACGGCTACTGCGATCTTTTCGTCTACCCGTCTACCAGTACTACTAGTACGACGGCGACTATTCCTATTACTGACTACCACGACCACTGCTACTATTTACTATTTCTACTACGACTACGACTACTACTCGTAGTACTAGCATTCCAATGTTCTAACAACTACTAGTGCCACTACTACCTTTACGCTGACTAGATCGAGTGCTACTACGCATAGTTCGACTACTAGTACTACTGCTGCTTTCACTTCGGCAACTAGTATAAGGTCGGTTATTTTGTGTTACGTACTTCTTGTTGCGATTGCCACTCGTACTACAACAGCAAAAAGTATTTGAACTACGACTCCTGCTGCTTTCACTGTTACCACTGCTACTACTACTACGGTCACTTCCATTACAAAGACAACTACGAGTACGACTACTACTACTGCTGCTACTTTTACGATTAGTATTACTACTACTAGTATCACTACTCTTACTACGACTACTACTACTACCACTACTACTACGACTACTTCTCGTATTGTTACTACTGCTCCTGCTACGAGTACTAGTATTCCACCACCATAACGAGGGCTACTACTACTGCTATCAGTAGTATCACTACGACTAATCTTAGTCCTATTACAACCATTGCTGTCGCGACTTTTTAGTACGCCTACTACTACTACTACTACTTCTACTACTACTACTACTACTACTATTACTACTACTATTACTACTACTACTTCTACTACTAGTATTACTACCATTCCTACTACCACTACTACTACTGTTACCAGTACGAGTAGTTCGACTACTGCGACTACTTCTCGTTTTCGCTACCACGACTACTGCTACTACTATCATGACTATTACTACTACCTTAATTAATGCTACTACTACTACTACTACTACTACTACTACAACTACTCCAGCTACTCTTACT